CAGCTAATTTTTGTATTTTTAGTAGAGACGGGGTTTCACCATGTGACCAGGATGGTCTCAATCTCTTGACCTCGTGATCCACCCGCCTCGGCCTCCCAAAGTGCTGGGATTACAAGCGTGAGCCACCGTGCCCGGCCCATAATTGGCCTTCTAAAGTTTCACTTCTATATGCTTACTGTCCTTTAAATAGTTAGTATACTCCACTTCCAGTGAAACTTGTTATACTACTGTATGAAAAAACAGACTTCTCTCTGTCCTTCATTTCCACAACTTTATTTAGTATGGACACTGTGTCTCCTCCACTAGACAGAGGGTTCTCTCAGGTCAAGAACATCCATAATTTATGAGACAGGGTCTCACTCTGTTGCCCAAGCTGGAGTGCAGTGGTATAATCACAGCACACTGTAACCTTGAACTCCAGGGCTCAAGTGATCCTGCACTTCAGCCTTCTGAGCAGTTGCTAGGAGTACAGGTCCACCACACCAGCCTAATTTTAAAAAATTTTTTATTTTTATAGTGATGAAGGTCTCACTATGTTGCCCCAGATGGTCTTAAACTTCTGGCCTTAAGTGATCCTCCTGCCTCGGCCTCCCAAAGTGCTATAATTACAAAGTGAGCCACCAAACCCACCCTACCCCCACCCCGCCCCGTGAAATTTTTAAGCTTGGAGGGAACAAATGTAGGCTAATTTGCTCATCTTTTCAGATTAGCATGGCTAGAAAGTGGCTGATTCATCCAAATGAGCCCACTCCCTGCAGGACAGAGCCAAGACAGAGCTCTGGTTTCTGCACTCTCTATTTAACCAACGTCCTTTTTTTCACTTAATCATGCTGACTCTTCATATGTAACTCTCCCAACAAACCTCTAGAAACAGGGCGTGGAAGCAATATGCAGTATCTGGAGCAGACATGCTGCTGAGTGACAGCTGACTATAGTTTACAAACTAATCAGACACATTCAGCTGGAAGCCATTTCCTCTCCTGGAGCCTTAAGTGTGAGAAGACAGAACAGGGTAAGCACTCACTGAGCTTCCTCCTGATCCAGTCTCTCAGCCTCAGCCTGGACCTTCTCAAGATTTTCTGCCACCATCTTGCGGTTCTTTTCCACATCTTCCAGCTCCTGGATCAGCCTCTCCTCCTCTAGTGCCAGCTCTTTTAGCTCCATCTGTAGCTGTTCACTGTCATCTTCATTCATTTGCTCTAAGATCTCCAAACAGCGTCTGCCAAAGACGCAGGCAGAGTATACTTACTAGAGTTCCATTTGGAGTAGAGCTCTTGGGTAAGGGCCAGGCAGTCCCAGAGCAGTAACAGCTCTGAGCCCTGGCTCTAGAGGCACTCACTTGTAGTTCTGACATTCATTTTCAGTGACATTGAGCTGAGTGTCCAGCTGGTCTAAAAGAGTATCTGTGCATTCCTCACAGAGTGGGTGATCCACATCTGTCTGGCCCGACATGATGTCAAAAAGGTCCCCAGTGACCTGGAAGTGTGGGAGAATCGGGGTAGGGTCTCCCCCATGCTACGTGCTCAATCACCCACTCTCCCAGCCAGGCCTACTGCTTGCCACTGGAATGGGGCCAACTTGCCTTCAGTCTTCGGCTGAGGTTCTCCATGGTGCCGCCATCAGATGCCTCCCCAATCAGAGTGAAGCTGTTGGCGCTTTCTGTGGACATCATCCTGCAGATAGCCCCCCGCCCACGGGCCACATGAGGGAGCAGAGAGGCTTCCTCCACCTACTGCAATGCCAGTGGCAGAGACTCTCAAGCACCAGCTGAGGGGCCTCAGGACATATACCCACTCCTGGCCCGACTGACCTCCCAAGGGTGCCTCTCTCCCAAAGGAAGGCCATGCTGGTCTTCCACAGGGACACTCAGCACGAAGGTTGGCCTGGATGGACTAAGGGGGGAGAGGGGGCATAAATAAATTGGTATGTGTATGACTACAGTGGAAAAGAAGGGAGAATCAGGAAAGGCCATTTTAAAAAATATTAACCCTTTATTTAAAAATAACCCCTTGCCGGCAACCTCTTTACCTGCAGATATGAGAACTAGGACTCGCACATCTAACAACACTTGCTGTTTTGAAACTTCTCAAGAGCCCATGTCTTTTATTAGTGATTAATCACTCCCTCAATTTTTCTCAATACTTTGTCATTAGAGCTACTATCTTTCCCATTGTGTGAATGGCTATAGGAAAAAATCCATTCTGGACTGGGTGACGGGCCATGTATAGGGAATACATCTTTTTCAAAAGGGCCAAAAGGCTAGGTGATGATGCATCTCATCACCTGGCTCCAGGTCTTGATTCCTGGATTTAATTAAAATTCTACTAGCCTTTGGCAAAGAATAGGGGGCTGAGAAGTAGTAGGCACCTGGCTGGGGGGATGAATCTGCGAGAGACGCCATCCTGGCGAGGAGTTTCAACAAATGGCTCCTGGCAAAGAAATAAGAGAGCATTAGAATTCTGGCAGCTTAGAAGTAGAGTCCATTTCCCAAACAGCCTGAGAACTATATAGCTTTAGTTTTGATTGGTAACCACAAGATTTGATAAACCACACAGACTTAAAAAATGGATATTATTGAGGCAATCCTTATACATGTGGACTAAGAAAGGACCCATGATACAGACAAACCTCAAGTCCCATTTGATTTTTGTGGGGAACAGCATTTCCTAACTATGTTATACTCTATTTATGGTTACACTTGCATTTCTCAACACTTACCAGTCAAGGGTAGGAGACAGAATGCCCTAAATCATAGTACAAGGAAAAAGCCAGATCAGATGGCAATGAAGTCTGTCACAGTACAAAGTAGATCATTTACATGTTTTCAATATTTTGAGATTATGTGTATGTGATCAAAATCTTACGACATCTATTGACTTCAAATCCAGACCCCTTTGCTGCTTTGCTTAGGGCTTTCTCTGGTTCCTGGACTCTTCACTGCCTGCAGGGGGCACTGGCCAGAATTAATAACCCCTACTCAACCTGACATCAGCCCTCCCCCAGTGACTGGCAGCAGTGGGTAAATAAATACTCCAGCTCCCTTGCTACTTGAGGAGAAGAAATCTCAGGTGTGTATTCAACACTATCTCACAGGATGTTGCTCCACAGATGCTCCACAGGATCACTGATATTATCACAGTTTAAAATGACATCTTCTCTAACACTGACAATTCTTTCTGTCCAGGGTAATATACAAGTCGCTGTCCTAACCAGGATGCTTTTGAAATGGAGAGGAGTGGATATTAACAACTAGCTAGAACAACAGATGCAAATCAATGCTCTGGAATGACCTGGACACACAGGTCATCCCACCTCCAACCTATAATAATTTATAACTCT